TTCTCAGGTCTGCCAAAATAAAAAAAGCCTGGATCTCCCCAAGCCACCGTTCTCCACAGAAAGTTCTATTCAGTGTGTGAACACAAAGAACAATTTAGTTGGGGAAAATAACTGATTAATGAGTCTATGTTTTGTCATCATTCTCAACACCCAAAGCAGGGCCTAAATATCAGGAAGCGGCTGGCTCTTCCTAAGAAGTTTCTCTAATAAAGCTGTAGTATTCCACGTGTGGTCCAGAGATCAGGAAATACTTCACTGTGGAGCTTATTAGAAATCTGAACTCTTGGCCCCCTCCCTAGACCCTACTGAATCCGAATCTCTGGGAGCAGGGCCCAGGCATCTGTTTGAACAAGTTCCAAGTGATTCTGATGCATGTTAGAGTTTTAGAAGCACTGTAGTAAATTGTTTCCTAAATCTTTCTGATGGGAAATATACCCTCCTAGGCCCCTCGACAGGCAATTCTGATTCTGAGCAGCTGAAATGAGAACCTGGAAATCCAATTTGTGTAAGCACCTGCAAGTGACTCTTAACATCAGGTAGGTTTAGGAAACTCTAGATACGCCCCCCTGCCCTCCGAGTTCATGTGTCCTGGTGGAGGCAGTGTTTCATAAGAGATGCAAGTAAGAATCACCGGTAGATCTTCTTAAAAATACAGATTCTCTGGCTTTTTCCCAAGCTCTAGTTAATCACTGTATCTGGAATCAGTGGTAGAGCAGCAAATAATGCGTCTCGTTCTCCTGCAGTAAGTGACTTAAATGAAGAAGGGATAACTTTTCAGTAGGGTTGGCTCTGCGCCTAGGGATGCTGGGTGCTGGTGCTATGGCTTGAGACTCCCAGAAAAGACCTAGCACCAAGCTTGGGTGCAGAGGGCTGGAGCACTACTTTCTAGTAGAACACAAACACTTAGGCAGAAAACCTGTCCGCAGCAGGCGGAGAACCAGAGGTCCTTCCCACAAACTGAACCAAGAGTGTACTACCTGTCAAGTCTGATGGGAGCAGGGACAGCAGCCATATGTAATTTGGTTTAGAAAAATAAAGAAATGTGATATTTCTTTTGCTGATCACATGCAGCAAGATTTAAAGGAAACCAAAACACTAGCAAGACAATAAAGTATGAAAAATGTTGCTTTTAAAACTTCTCTTACTTAAACCTTCTGCTTCATCTCCTACATCTGAAATTCCATAAAGTCAGCTTTTTATAAGACCTTATAGTTTATTTCACCATCAAGCAGCTCACCATTTCTTTGTCTTGCTACTAAGAGATTTCATAATGTTGGTAAATTGTTTTTCCTTTTTTAAGCTCTAAATCAACATCAGATACTATAATGAATAATCGACCCGTTTACAAAGCTCTTTCTTCCAGAATATCAACCCCAAGGAGATGAGTGTTTAAGATTTAACACCTTAGTCTTCAATTAAACTCACATACATTGAGCTTGACAAAGTGTTTGACACGGGGTGATACATAGTGGTGGTTTCCATTTCTCCGCACTTCAACTACAAGCATCATCTTATAAAACAGCTGAATGTGCTCGACTCCCAGGTGTGAAAAAATCATATAGGAAACTCAAACACAGCTGTAATACACATCTATTTTTATTGCTGAAAGTCCACTAAAAGCCTATAATTAGGATAGACTCTGCCAGATGAAGAAATCTACGTTTTGCTTCTCTGGAATATAAAGAAAGGAACACTCTTGATTTAGTGAATGCTGGAAACATTTTTCAGATGACACACAGAAGAATATATAAATCTTTTGTTTCTGAGACCACATTTGCCATGGGTAAACAAAATAGAACTGATTACAGAGAGGGGTCCAAATATCTTCAAATTTTACTGATATTCAAACTTTATTCTCTACCTCCCTACTGTGGACACCTTTGTTCTTTCTTGTTGGAAGAGCCTTCCCAAAATCTTAGCCTTGGTACATGTGGGTGAATATCAGCACCTTAGTCACATAGAGTGGAACAAAAAATCCAGGGCTTCTTTTTAAGAAAATGGTATTGATATGCTGCTCTCCATTCTTTTGCCTCTAAAGTTGACAACCGGCTTCACTCCTGTCAAGAATCAGCTCTTACTGTCCCAAGGTGAAGGCCGCCATCACTTAGACAAGGGATACCTGTGTGACATTCAGTGGTCTTTTAAGTGGTTAGCATTCATTGGGCTCTTTAAAGAGTAGCTTTGTTCTTTTCCTCTACAGCCCCTTTAATATGGGGGCTCGAAACAGATTCCTGATAGCTGGGCCTACGTATTGCTGGTGTGGCCCCCATCCATGTAGCCCAGAAAATCTTCTCCACCAACCGTCACCCAGAGTTCCAAATGGAAGCGTTGGCTTCCTCTTTCTTCAGCCTTAAGTCCTTCCTATGCCACCATCTCCACCCCTAGGGGATGAAAGGCCCTTCTTTCTGGTTATGAGGGTCTTGAAATATGAGTCCTAAAAGTGCTCCCGTGGTTTGATCCAGAACACTAGAGGCTGTCTTGAAAATAGAGGCCTGGGATAATCCTGATTTCCTGAGCCTTGCCAAGTCTGTGCAGAACAGGACTTGGCACAGTCCAAGATTTTTGCTATATATTATACAGAATCTAAGGGAAATTTCAGTGCTTGGTCATGTCATTCTTATTGTCTACTTATTTACAGCAAAGAGAAACTAAGGGAAAATAATTATTTTCCAAGAAAGTTTTCTCTTTAAGATCTGTTAGACCTATTAAAAAATAAAATGAGACAATGGCTTCACTGAACTTGTTTTCCGTGTTGGTTCACTTTAGTACCATTTCTGTTTTCACTTCATACAGTTCATTCTGTGATCATTCTTAGAAGAACAAGTGTTTTGGGTTGGGTTCAACTTTTCCAGTGATGGCCCACTGTTCTCTGTTCTTTTCTATATTTAAAGTTTTGTAAAAAGGAATTTATTATACTTCAATAAAAATAAGGAATTCAGACAGTTCTGAATCTGGTAAGTATATTATGAATGGTCTCCAAAACTCCCTTAAATAAATATTTAAATATTAAATTCTTCCTGGAAGCTGTGGTTATGGCACTTCTATTTCATTTGAAGCTGATGCATAATGTAATTACTCTATTCGATGTAGGTTCTTGCTACTAGTTTCTCTTTGGAGTTATAGAACTATTATCACACAGGCACAGTCACATTTGAATGTGTGACATTAAAGACAATATGCTTTATTAAATATGGTTGAATACATATTTCTCTTCCTAGATCTTTTTTCTACTCAGTGCATCAACACACTATCGTAGTTACTCTTTGTTTTATATATAGAAATAGTAACTCCTCCAACTTTGTTGCTCTTCAAGAAGAAATATCCCTTTGCATTTCCACATACATTTTATAATATGCTTGTCAATTTTCGCATGCATAGAAAAACTACCCAAGATTTTGGTTGAAACTGCATTAAATCTATGGGTCAATTGGGGAAAAATAACATCTTTACAATGCTGAGTTTTCCAGTTCATAGACAAAGAATAATTCTTATTAAAGTCTTCATTTGTTCTCATCTTTCATAATTTTCTTTGTAAAAATTATATATAATTATTAGATTTATACCTATGAGTTTGATTTTTTTGATACCTTTGCAAATGCTAATTTTAAAACTCCTTTCATCTAATTGATTGTTACTGGCATATAGAAATTTTTTGGATAGTGCTCTGATATCCAGCAATCCTATTTAATCTGCTTAATGATTCTAATAGTTTATCTGTGATTCTTCTGGATTCTGTCTATTCAAAATAATGTCACTGGTAATATCTTTTTAAAACTGGTTTTAAAAATTGACCTGTGAAACTCTAATTCATGTGGCTAGCAAAAATATTATTTTCATGTCAGGGTGGTTTACATATAGAACTTGATATATTAGATTAAAACTAGAATCTGGACTATGGCATCAGCATGAAAGAAAATACAAAGGGCGTCCAAGACGTAAAAACATGTTTATTTTCTCAGGAGCTTGGGAAAGACACATTCTGTGTGCACTACTTCCTTGTCCCCACCCCATCCCCCAGACCTCATATACACACCAAGAGAAAAGAATGCTCACTTTTGACCAATCTGTGTTTCCATGTGTATTTCTTCCTCTTTAAACATGAAAGAAAACGAAAGACTGGTTGAAATATTTTATTTGCCCCTCAGAACATTATATTCTTCTGATATTGCCACTGATGATAACTCATTTAACTTCTAGAAGACCTCCTCTTCCCACTTTCATATCCTCTCCAAAATCTCCTTCTTCCTGGGGTTATCAAGAAGTTACCAGTGTCCAAGCTAGCTTGCTTCTTGAAGATGGAACTTTCCCTGCTCACAGGGTTGGAACCAGGTCTTGTTTGGTTGTATCGAAAGCAATGAAGACTGAAATGAGCCTTAGTCCACTCGCTGTTGGACTCAAAGAAGTGACACAAAATAAAGGACCAGAGACTTTGTTCTGTCTTCAGCAATATTTATTGGAAACAGCAACGCTTCCCGTGGTAAGAGTTTATACATTAAGCAATAAGATTTGTCTTTCACTCCACATGATCTACTACCACAGGTGGCATGTCCAAAGCAGCACATTAAACCTCTGAAAGAATCTGTACAGCTAGATAAATAGAACTCTGGATAGAACCTAACAGGACTTTAATACCGATACAAAAAAAAAAAAAAAACCCCACTCATAAATTTATGCACAGCACTGTCCACACAAAATGAAGATGAGATAGAAGGAACAGAGATAAAAGTAACAACTGA